TTGGTCTTGAAAAGCTCCTCCTGCTCCCTGTTAGCTGGTAGCCTTCTAGTGGGGGCGTGGATCCCATGGCCTTGTAGCTGAGACTGGGGCCAATGCCAGAGCTAGAGCTGGTATATTTGATCGTCACAGGGACCCAGCCAGTGGGAGGCAAGATTAACAAGGAAGCTAGGGTCAGCGATCAAAGTCATACAGCAAACTCAGGGCAGCAGACTGCCTGTGGGCACTGAGGACGTGGCGTGGAGGACACATCTTCTCTCTGGAGAACCGTAGTGGACACTGCAGTGTGACTCGGGAAGGCTGTGTCACTGAGGCGCCTTGGGTGAGGCTACCACATGCCCCTCGCACACCCTGCCAGACCCAGCTGAGTGACCCCGGGACATATACTGAGCCTCTCTGTGCCCCTCCTCAGTCAGCACGTGGGAATAATAATTTGCTCCCTGCTTGGGGTGCTGTAGAAACGAGTGGTTGAGTATAAGCAAAGCGCAGTGATACTGCACCTGCTCGGAAATGGCCCTCAGACTGGAGGGAGTTACATCTCTGTTCACTTCTGTAAGCCCGGAACGCCAGGAGGGGTCCCTTCCCAAGGAGGAGCAGGGTGTGAGGTAAGAGCGGAGTCTCTGGGATCACAAACCTCAGTCCATGTCCTGGCTCTGCCTCCTCAGTCCTGACAACCATGAACAAGACACCTACCTTGAGCCTCAGTTTCCTCCAGCGTACAGTGGGGTTGTGCAGAGGAGTGGGCTACAGTACCTGGTAAAGTGGATGCCCAGGTCGGTGCCACGGGATGGAAGGCCGGTTCAAAGGCGAGCGTTCCTGTGAGCTGTTGTGAGCAGTGCTCTTTACAGTGAGTTTGTCCCAAGAATTTTCCCTTCGCGGATGCTCTCGCTGCAGTTTTCATCCAGCTTCATGTGACTCACCTAGGGGTGGAAGAAGGACAGTAGCAAGTGCCCTCCCAGTCCCCCAGGCCCAGCAACTCCATGCCCATCCCGTAGTCCCCCAGCCCTCAGGAACGACGAGTCCCAGACGGGGACCAGGCTGTGGCCCTGCGCCGTCCCCCGCCAGGGTCAGCCCTTGCTGGTTACCCCAGCCTACCTGAGCTGACGTGGCAGGCTTGGGGACCGGCCCACAGTCGAGGATGTTCCACTTGGGCATCTCAGACTGGCCAGAGCCAGCAGAAACACGGGAAGAGAAACTCGTGCGAGGCAAGCGTGGTGGTCCTAAGACAGAGCATCTCAGACCTGAATTACAGAGGGCTTCCTGTGCGAGCACATGCTGAAAATGCAGGTTCTGGTCCAACAGGGGTGGAAGGGGCCTGGGATTCTAAGGTTCCCAGGGTCCCCGCGGCTGTGACCCTTTGTGTGTCCAGGTTTCATGGGCTTCTCAGGGGTGCTGAGGGTTGACCGGGCCGGGCTGTTCTGCTGAAGTCACACATGCGCCGGCATGGGCCTGACTCACCCATCCACCAGCAAGGCCAAGGGTGCTGATGGTCTCAGGCAAGTTGCAGCCGGCTGGTGCTTACTGATCACAGCCAAAGGACTTGTTCGAGGAAGCCTGGGGACTCTGCCCTGGGAGCTAGTTGTGTGGGAAGTGTGTGCCGTCTGTGACTGTCGAGACACGAGAAGCCCTATCTACACTCCTCTCGTGCCTCCTGGTTGTAATGTCTGTAAGCGGGGATGTGAGTAGTTCTTGATCAGAGAAAAGTATCACTATGGTTGTGCCTCGACAGTGTGACAAGTGCAGCTCTCTCCTGGCCTTGCGGGACCCTTTGCTCGGAAGCAGCCTTTGGGAGCCATTCCCATTCCCATTTCAGGGCTGCTCCTCTTGTTTCTGTTTCCTGAAATGAGCCTTAGGTTGGTCCACGTTGCCATTTAGAGCCCACTGAGCTTTGCTTGCAGGGAAGGCTGTGCAGTGGGCATTTAAAAACTGCTGCCTGTGGGTGGAGCACTGCGGTCAGCCCAGCGCAGACCAAGGTGATTGGATCGCAGCTCTTGCTCTCCTTTCCCACAGGAGGGCTCAGGTGCTTTACCTTGGCCATACTGGTTTCACCTGGGGAGCCTGGGCCCTGTCCCCAGAGATGGGATGGTGGTCTGGGGTCTGGCTTTTGGTATTGGGTTTTAAAAGTTCCCAGCTGATTGTAATTTGGGGCCAAAGGTGTGAACCAGTCACCTAGACAGCAAATACAAGGCAGTAATAGTATTAGAAAGAGGGGTTGTAGATTCAATTAGGCCACTGTAGATGGGAGAGCCATGACAAAAGACCTTTACAAAGTCTGAAACCTGGGTACAGTTGTTCTGTACTTCTTGCTTGAGGCTAAAGCCCAGCACTGGAAGTCACACATTGCTCGAGGGCTGGTTGCCTTCCAGATGAGGCACGGGGAGAAGGACAGTGCCCAGCCTAAAAGGAAACCATCATCTGCAAGTGTGGAACTTCTGATCTCTTCATGCCTGGGGAGGGCATGCTCAGGACAGGAGACTACTGTTTTTTGGCAGTACTGGGGATGATTGAGCCCTTGTTAAATGTTTTATTTTGTGAAAGGGTATTTCAGAGTTGTGGTCACCATCATGCATAACCAGCCGGAGCTGGTCTTGTAACTGGACCGTCTCATCGGGGGGTGATGGGAGACAGTGACAGCCCGAGTGTGTTGCTTATGGCGAGCCTACCACGTAGTCTTGTTTTGGCCGCTCTCACTGTAGAAAACCCTGATTCAAAGAGGCAAGATGGTGAAAGAAGAAGCGGATTGTTCAGTGCTTCTGTAAGAATCTCAAGAGAACCCGCCTTGCCTTTAATTCAGAAGGCATGGAGATTCGAAGACGTCTCAAACACACCTGCCAGGCCGCTGTCATTTGCACTTAATCCCTTTCTACCATGAACAAAATCAGTTCACCTGGATTTTTCACAAACAGGTCCCAGATCCATTCCTTCACAGTTTGTGGGCCTTTTGTGTTGGGAACTAATACTTAAAATCTTTGGAAAGCTGAGATAGGTGAGGATTAGCTGGGAAAAAGAAGGCCCTGGCTCAGGCTCTTTCAAAACCTCTGATAATATTTGAAAGGTGTCAGAAATCCCAGTGCTCCTTCATTACCCTCATTAATTCGAGTTTGGCTTTGAATGCAGCCGCTTTATCTGCCAACTTGAATACAGGTGGTGTTCTTCCTGCTGTGACAGATTGAATTTGTTAAGTAAGTTGAACGTGTCACGTTAGTAAACAGGTTTTGTGACTGATTCTGTGTCACTGAAATGTGTCACCAGTAGTGACTGATTTTCTTTAAAAAACAATAGAAACCCCTGGAGCGGGTCTTTTGAGAGCTCAAACGCCAGCCTAACCAGCGATGTACTTTAGAAAGCCGTGCTGCTTCTGTGTGTAGAAGACCCTTGTGCTCTGTGTCCATGTGGCCGTGAGATGCCACAGCCCTTGGAGGCCATTGGCCCCTGGAGGGTCAAGACCCACATACTTAAAGCTGGAATCTCAGTCCAGGACATTTATGCTAGGAGATAATTTAAAGCACGAAAAGTGACTGGCGATGGAGGAAATATTAAAACTTGGAGAGCACAGGAACCATGTACATGTCCTGTAGTAAACTGTGCTGGGGGTACTAATTTTTCAAGTACTAAATTCATCACTGGGGTGATAAACGTAGCCCCGTAGATCACAGCTGTCAGATACCCCACAGCTGAGCTCTGCACTGAGCGCTCTCCAGAGGGAGAGGTGGCTTACCTGGGATTGCACGCCAGTTGGGAGCTGGGCAGGACCCCAGCTCAGGGCGTCTGGAGTACAGCTTGGTGCCTGGCTTGGCACTCTTGGCAGATGGCAGGGCCTTTAAGAGGCGGGGCCTCACGGAAGGTCTTTAGGCCCCTGGGCTGCGTCCTGAAGGGGCTTCTGGGACCTCAGTCCTGCCTCCTCCTCTCTGTCTGCTCCCTGGCTGTGGGTGGGCAGTTTTGCTTCAGCACACACTCCTGGGTCCTGAGCTTCCTCAGCGTGGCCCAGAAGCATGGGGACACCTGACTGTGGGCTGAAGGCCCAGAGCTGTGAGCCAAAGCCAGCCTTTCCTTCGTGTAAGTTAACTCATCGGAGCAGGCTTTTGTTACGGCAGCAGTATGCTGCCTACAGAGAATCTTACAAAGGGCCGTCTGTACATCAGTCAGAAAGTGAGTTTGAGTGTTAGGGTGTTGATCAGTTTCCACCAAGAGCAGAGGTCAGGATGGGGTGGTCCAGGCTGAGCTCCAGCAGCCAAGGGGTTCCTGTCTAGGATTTAATCCCACTGTTTCTGCTTTTGGTTTTACAGTTACATTCACATTTGGGTCAGTCCTAGGGACTCCTCATAGGGTTTTGTTGGAAAAGAACTTCCTTTGAATACGATTCATTGTCTTAAAGAAAAATACTGAGTTGAAGAGTACGAAGGAGGCCTAAGGATGGGGCACAAGTTGGGAAACGAAAGCCGAGTGAAGAAAACATGGCGACCGCTGTCCTGAGCCGTCCTCACCCGGAGCCGCTGACCCGTGCACGGCAGTGGCCAGGCAAGGAAGAGGGCCTCAGAGTTCAGGTGCACTGTGGCAGCACTTATATCACAAAGTTGGTGATTAAACATTGGGCTGGGAGAAGGGTTAGGAGACACCGTGGACAGATGCACCTGCAGCTACTAGGGATCATGACGGCTCAGGGAGGCACTTTCCCTCACTACACTGTGAGGTTGTTTTAAAGCTTTGTCTGTATCATTGTCTCAGGCAGTTTTGTTCTCGCTGAGACACAATACCGACACCTGGCACGTACAGGAGGAGAGCTTTATTCTGCTCCTGCTTCCGCCCGTAGTGAGCTGGCTCCAAGGCGGGACAGCCTGGCAGAGACTCGGGGCAGAGCAGAGCGGCTCCCAGCATGGGAGACAGGAAGCCGAGAGAAGGGAGGAGCCAGGGCGGGACACGGGACCCGCCCTTCCAGGCCCTGCCCTAGTGAGCCGCCTCCTAATGGCTCAATTTGCTATGAACTCATCAGGAAGACCTGCGCCGGAAGAGGAGAGCCGGCCCCGGGTCAGCCTGGTGCGCGGCTGCCCAGGAGGGGTGGCAAAGGTAAGCGCTGCCTCATGGGCACCCAAGTTGGGCCGCCCTCCGAGCTCACGTGGCACGGGCCTTGTAGGCTACACCCCCTCCTGTGACCCCATCACCACGTGCCTGTGACACTACCACAGCCAAGGGACAGTTCAGACCTCGCCTCGCAAAGTCCTGACCTAGGCAGCTGGGAGCGTGAGGCACGGTTTGGCTGGAGCAGGGGGTGCAGATCTGGGAGCGTGGTCTGGGGGCCGTGATGTCCTGGCGGTGAAGCAGGTAGGATCACGTGGACCCTGGCCACAGCGGGGTGCGGAACAACAGGTCCAGCCTGGTCACAGCCACCTGGGAGGGGCAGTTGTGGGGTTACAGGGTCCTGTGGGCCAATCTGTAGGGGTAGAGCTTCTGCGGGGTGCGGTGGCTCTGCAGCAGCAGAACCTCCACTAGGGCCCAGGGGCAGCACTGGGAAGGGGCCCCAGACCGAAGGTCACCTGTGTGCCAGGCTTCTGTGACCTGCAGAAGAGGAGGCCGGACAGGGCCCGCAGGGATCCCCTGCGGGGATAGCAGCACCAAGGCCCGTCCATCCTGTGTCTCCAGGAGCACTCTGATCTGAGGGACCCCAGAGGCGCGGCCTTAGAGACAGCACTGGGACACTTGTGGCTGGGGATGCCTTCCCGCCCAGGCCCAGGCGCCCTCCTGCAAGCCCCTTTCTCTCTAAGGGTTAAACTCTCATGGTTTATATGGCCTGCAGGTGCCGTTGTGAGTTTTCTAACTCTGTGAAAACAAATGTGTAAGTAGATGCAGTGGGTTCAGCTGGGGTGTATGCAAAGCGAAGCGCAGAGCTGATGAAAGAGTGCAGAAAGGTCTATTTGCAGCAAGCAAGGAGAGCACCAAGGCTACCTGCCTGGGCTTCACCTTGTGATGGAAGGAAGGAAGGGACTTAGTCACCCCGCAGAGACCTGTCGCTGATGTGGAGGCCTTTGCAGTTGGAAGTGTGAGCTTCTTCGTTCAGGGCTTGTTTTCAGGTGGTGAGTAGACACCTCGGGGTGGAGAATTTAGACTCCAAGGAGATGATAAAGAACAGTGTAGTCCAGGGCTGGGTTAAACCACTTTTGTTGTTTCCTGTGGTCTTCTCTGGAGGGCCTTGCCTGAAACAAAGAAATTGAAGTAGCCGGTGCTTCCCCCACCTCCCACAAGCACAGGAGCTTAACCCTGTCGTTCCTGGCTCGCTGCTGACAATGTGCTGACGATCTCCTAGCCAGAAGGCTGGATGCTGCTCCCTGACTTCAAGGTTGCTTGGGTGCCCCTTCCTCTGAGGCTGTTCTCACCGACTGATGGCAGCATCTTTCCTACCTGAGATACTAGTGCTGAAAAGGTCTCCAAACCGGGAGGCTGTGTGCCCTGATGCCTGGCCCTCACCTCTCCCCAGGTCGCGATGGATGGCAGCTTCAGCAAGGAGGCGGAATGGAAGGGTCGTTTCTTGGGATCGCCCTGCTTTTATCCCACCTGTGCCCTCTGGCATCTTCCTTGTTTCTGTTGTGTCTTTTAAGACATTGATCACTTTTCGTGTGCTCAAAGTTATGGGATTGGAATTGTGTTGTTTATTTTTCACATCCACGGTCTTAGTTTTAATAATACTTGGACTTCTAGTTAGAGGTTCCTCAACTTGTTGGCTTATTCAAGAATTGTATTTTCATTTTGTTGACTTGTCTGTTGATACCCTGTGTTTTCAGTCACTGATTTATGTGCTAATGCGATTCTTTCTTTTCCCTCTATTTACTTTGGATTCAGTTTGCTCCTTGTTTGCTAATTTCCTGCTTTGGGCATTTAGGATCTTGGCTTTAGATCTGTATTCCTTTCCAATAGTTAATTCAGTGTTGTAAAGTTCCCTATTGGCACACATTTTACTACACACCTCAAATGTTAGTGGGTTGATTTGCCATTTTCTTTTAGTTCAGGATCCTTGGAAGGGCCTTGAGATTTAATGTTACTCCATGAGTTGTTTAGAACTGTGTTGTGAATCCTGCAAATTGTTTGGAATATCTTCATTCCTTTGTATTTCTGGAGTGTGAAAATGTGATTCTCTTGTTGAAAGTCGTGTAAGGCATGTTCAAGGGCCCCGTGTCAGAGTGTGGGCTGTTGTGAAGAATGTTTCTCATTAACCTGAGAATATGCATTCTTCCCTTGTTGGGTGAAGTGCTATAAAAAGGGCAGAGAGGTCCAGGTGCCCTGTTATGCTGGTGAATGCTGTACAGTGTCTTGATGAGGCAGATTAGGGCATGGCGGACGGGCTGGGAAATGGTATGTAATCAGTCAGTTAGAAAGATCTGGAATGGAGGCTGAGTAACAGGATATGACCTGTCCATCGGGGCCAGCGTGTAAGGGCAGAGCAACTTCAGAGGGTATAGAAGATGGCGACATTGATTTCGCTGCCATTGCAGATCTTGCTGTTCTGCTGTCTTCCTGTCTCTTCAGCGGCCCATCCTGCATGCAGAACCTGTTGTCACTTTTCTTGCTTCTTTACTCTTCGCTTTTCTTGACTTTGTTCCTTTTCTTCTTTTATTTAAATAAAAGTCGTATGCACCTACTCATCAGTTGTCCCAGTCAGTCCTTCGGGACTGGAACCACCAGACCATGCTCCACCCAGCAGATTGAGATTTATTCTTGATCCATGTGTTATTTAGAGTTATGTTGTATAACTGCAGATTGATTGGAATTTTCCCACTACCTATCTGCTCCTGATTTCCAACTCTATCCCCTTGGAACTGGGGAGTGCGCAGGTGTTACATCTGTTGTTGAAAGTTCTGTAAGGCGTGTTTAATGGTCCCAGTGTCAGCCTGTGGTCTGTTCTAGCAGACGCTCCTTGTAAACTTGAGAATGTGCATTCCCCTTTTGTTGGGTGAGGTGGTGAGGTAGGTGAGTAGGGCTGTCGCAGGCTGTCTGGACAATAGGATGTGACTTTCAGTTGTAAAGAAGGGAAAGGCTTGGAAGAGGATGTATGTCTAACCTGATCAAGCGGGCTCCTTGTCAGTTACAGCCAGGATGTGTGGGCAAAACAACTTCAGAGGGAGGGATGGAAGGATAGAAAAGGCAGCAACCCTTCACTTCACTGCTGCTGCTACAGTCTTGCATTTTTCTGTGCTGCTTTGTGACGTGGCCCATCCCTAGCTATATCTCTTCTTGTCCTTCTCTTTCCTTCACTGTTTTCTTTTCTTCTTTTTTCTTCACTTCTTCCCTTTTTCTCTCTCTCTTTTATGTTAAATGAAAGTTGTATTTAGCTGTTCTTCAGTTGTCCTGCCCAGTTCTTTGGGTAGGAAAGAAAGAGCCCGGATTCCAGGAATACTGTACCATCCAACACCAGCAATGCACAGAGAACCATTAGGTCCAGACGATTCAGTGGTCTGGTGAATTCAGCTCCAACCTCGCTGAATGTCTACCTGCAGGGCTTGCTCATCTGGAGGCAGGGGTGTTGAGGTCTCTAAGGTATGAAAGGGTAGATTTCTCATCAGTTCCGTCAATGTTTTCCTGATGCGCATA